GCCGGGCGGGGGAGGTGGCGGTCGAGACGGAAAGGCTCAGTGATGCTCTGGCGCCCAAATCCTGTTGACCGAAAGAGGCAGCTCGCGTGGTTCGGAGCGCCTGTCGATTTCTCGTCTCTACCTCCACCACTCGCCCGAAGGCTGCGATGCTAACTGCGCAAATCAAGATGCAAAGTATCTCATCGGAGCATGCCGTATACTACATGTACAAGAATATCAACACTGCCAACGTACGTGCTTCAAAACATGCCCGCGTATTGCCATCCCTCCATCGTCCCGAACACGTCCACCGGCATCTCCATTTCGAATAGGGCTTGCCCCGCGCCGCCATAGGAAGGTGAGGGTAGGGATGCCAAGTCGAAGGTGGGCGCGTACCACGGCATCACCGGCAAGAACTGCGCGAGCGGGTCATGGACGGCCCACCAATGCCCGTGCTCAGGCATCGAGCCCGGGTGGTAGGAGTCCTGAGCGGCCGACTCGAGCACAAACGGCTCGCTCTTGACGCCCTCCTTTGGGAACGGGTGAGAACGGGTGTAGGGCCCAGTGAGGTTGCGCTGACGCGGCTTCTTGACGTCGCTGCGCTGACGATGCGGGACCTCGCCGAGCATGGCAGCCACGGCGGACGGGTCGGTCGAAGTCAGGTCGATCCCGACGTCCTCTAACGTTTCGGCATTGAGGACGAGGCATGGGACGATGGTGGGACTGCGCGGAACTGACACCCGCGTCCGAGCTGACGGCTCCTGCACTCCGTCACGGGGAGGTCGGTAGTTTGGATGGACGGTCGCCGGATCGTGCATCGCGTTCAGGATGTCCTGAAGCGTTGCCGGCTCGAACTTGATCTCGCCTTTCTCCCAGGCCTTGAGCAGCGCGCTCATGGCGTCGATCCCGCCGGGGATGGTGCCAAAGCTGACGTATGGGACGTCGACGGGCCACCCTATGAGTTTGCATCCGTTTTCGATTACGGTGGACTGCGCGTAGCAGTGCTGAGAATAGTGGAGACTTGCGCTGAGGTCGTTCGCGCAGCTTTCTGCTCGCGCGCGTCAGGAATGGTACAGCTAGGAGCACGGATGGACACTCACGGAGGCCTGAGGTCATCATCGCATGGAGCTGACGCTGAACATCTTTGCAGGCACTCGGTGATTTCTGCAGCTTTGCGGGATGGCGTGCGGCGTCGAGGTAGTCGGCAGGGGTGAGCGGCTTCGTAAACACAACAAGCATCGTGCGAGGTCGAGCGCGGTCCAGGGCGAGCAGCGACTATTTGCGGGGAGCCTTATTGGTATGGAGTCCAGCTCCCCGCCTCATGCATTGCTGATATTTCAACACCGTTTCCTTGGAGCAACACCGCAGGCCTCTTCAAGCTGCAGGGCTACTGCCATGTTGGTCGCCCGGCGACAGCGTACTCGATCCCGACGTTTCGGTGCAGACCCTGAAGACGCCAATTACTCCTCACCCGACGCCCGCCTCGCCTCGTGCCGGGTGCACGAGTTGTGATTCGCCTCCGGGATTGCGAGGAGCGCCCCATCGCGCGCCGGCGCACAGTGACCTGCAGTGCGGGCCAATCGTACCCGTCCCTCCAACCGCTGTTAACTCGCCCGCCACTTCTTCGATGCGGCC